CAAATAAAATAGCAACACACACACTCTACACAAATGCCCTCGCTCCAATCTAGGAAGCCACTGATGCAAAGAGCAGAGGACAGCAAAAGGGTTTATTCAAGCCCAGCCGAAGCCAGGATATCGTGGTATGCTGCATCTCCCAATTTGATTATCGTGCACTCCCAAGATCCAACAGTCATCATCGTGTCAGCAGCTAGATGACTCAAATATAATAGCAACACATACACTGTCATAGCTCCACATATGCCTTCGCCCGAACCTAGGAAGCCACTGATGCAAAGAGCAGAGGACAGCAAAAGGGTTTATTCAAGCCCAGCCGAAGCCAGGATATCGTGGTATGCTGCATCTCCCAATTTGATTATCGTGCACTCCCAAGATCCAACAGTCATCATCGTGTCAGCAGCTAGATGACTCAAATATAATAGCAACACATACACTGTCATAGCTCCACATATGCCTTCGCCCGAACCTAGGAAGCCACTGATGCAAAGAGCGGAGGATAGAAAAAGGATTCATTCAAGCCCAGCCGAAGCCAGGATATCGTGGTATGCTGCATCTCCCAATTTGATTATCGTGCACTCCCAAGATCCAACAGTCATCATCGTGTCAGCAGCTAGATGACTCAAATATAATAGCAACACATACACTGTCATAGCTCCACATATGCCTTCGCCCGAACCTAGGAAGCCACTGATGCAAAGAGCGGAGGATAGAAAAAGGATTATTTCAAGCCCAGCCGAAGCCAGGATATCGTGGTATGCTGCATCTCCCAATTTGACAATCGTACACTCCCAGGATCCAACAGTCATCGTGTCAGCAGCTAGAAGACGACTCAAACAAAATAGCAACACATAGGCCATAGCTCCACACATGCCCTCGCCCGAACCTAGGAAGCCACTGATGCAAAGAGCGGAGGACAGCAAAAGGGTTCATTCAAGCTCAGCCGAAGCCAGGATATATATCGTGGTATGTATGCTGCATCTCCCAACTTGATAATCGCACACTCCCAAGATGCAACAACAGTCATCGTGGCAGCAGCTAGCTGACTCAAACAAAATAGCAACATGTACACTGCCATACATAGCTCCACACATGCCCTCGCCCGAACCTAGGAAGCCACTGATGCAAAGAGCGGAGGACAGCAAAAGGGTTCATTCAAGCCCACCCAGCCGAAGCCAGGATATCGTGGTGTGCTGCATCTCCCAATTTGATAATCGTACACTTCCCAGCAGATCCAACAGCCATCGTGTCAGCAGCTACATACTACATAGAGGACGTCTCAAACAAAATAGCAACACGTAAACTACACTGCCAAAGCTCCACACACATGCCCTCGCCCGTGTGTCATTCTTTCCTGATTTTTCCAGCCGATAAGTAGTAGGTAGAAACGGGCACTTTTCCACGGCGTTGGGTATCCGCCCCCCTAAACATGCTGTGCCCGTACGGTGAATGACTTGGTCTTGCAACATAACAAGTCGGACATCTGACAGCCGAAGGTGTTGAGTAGATGTTATGTCGCGGTTAAGCTAAAGAGTTGACTACAACACGATGTATCCCACTACCGCCTATAGACAGCAGTATAGACTAGGCTGCACACTGAGGAATTGTACGGAATTGTACTTTTTACTCAGGCTCTGTCTGGCAGAGAATCATTGCCGGGTGAGAATTGACTCGACCACTACCGTACCTCGCTACGGAGTAAAGATACGATGCTGCGCCCGACCCGCAGCAACGAGATATCCCGCCAGCAGACGTGCTAGGGAACGTCCGATGTTCAGTTCTTGTCGAGTTCGATACGATAAGGATACTCTTCTGTTCGAAAGCACGCGTACACGTGAAGCACGTCCATACTCTACCACTCCGCTGCCCTTAAAACTGCTGTACTGCTGTGTGTGCTCGTGGTTTTTGTCGGTCATGTTCCGTTTCGCATCGCGGTTTGGAACCTTGTCACTCACGTATATCCCGTTTCGCATCGCGGTTTCGGAACTTTCCATTAATCTCGCCGCTTTTCTCCTCTCGTCCCCCCGATCTCCTGTTGTCCTTTCTGTCAAGATCGTGAAGTGCTCCCTCTCCTGTGTTGTGTCAAAAGCGATTCAAGACTTGGAGAGGGTTGCCTTCTCCGGCTGATTCTTCCCAAAAGGGCAAGGGGAGAAGGGCAATTAAACAAAGATGGGGACACGACGAATGATCGAGCATGGTGCCCGCTCGGCTGGCGCATTGCGACGGAAAGGAAGCAAGGGCAAAGATCCATTCGAACGACACGATCTCAAGGTGCCTCTTTTATTGAGCGTCCACCGCGCTAACCGGCTATGTGTAGACTATACGTTCCATCTCATTTTTTTTTGCCCCTTTCACTGCAAATGCTATGCATGCACAGCAGTATTACTGCTGTCGACAGTGCAATCTCCGCTTCAAAAGATCTGTTGCATCTCATGTCGCGATGCTTATGTAGACTATGTTTCGCGAGCCACACGCACACGCAACGTACGTTACAGTGCTTGTTCTAACAGTACCTGTGGATGCAACAACTATGGGGGAGATTGTTTGAGATTTCTCCTCGGCGGGGACTGACTGGTTTATTGAGGAGTTTACACTGGCGTTGTAGGCGGGTGTGGGAAGCGTTCCCCGTTCTCCTTTTATTTTATTTTGATCGGTCTCCTCGACGCTCTTTCTCGTTTGGTGCGGTAGCTGGTCTTTCTTTCTATCATTTTGTTTCTCTTCCGAGTGGTTCTTGAACCCTATTTTTTTCTGTTTCTTCGTGGGGTCGTGTATGCCGGGTTTTGAGACCACGGGCTCCCAATTTTGTTTTTTAGAGGTAATGTGAGAAACAACAACAACAACAACAACAACTGAGAGAAGAACAACCTTACATCAGAGAAAAGGCCTACGGGCCAGGGACGGGACCCAAGATTGGCGTCTTGGAACCCGTTGTAGCGAGGATTTCATATTTCTAGAAAAAAAGTTATGTAGAAAGCTTGATGTGTCCTACTGTACTCATTTTGTACACGTCTGGTGGAGGGGGCGGGGTTGACTCATAGTCCCGCATGCCGTACGTAGTGGCTACAGACCGTTGACCTCGCATCCCGCAAAGCCGGGACGGAGCATGCCGGGTTCTCACCAGACCGGGCTCTCACATCACTGAGCTCAAAACGCCGTGAGGTATTCTGCAAGTCGCATAGATAGGTGGCGGAGGGGGGGGTGGGGAAAACACTGTAAACACTGCACGCACGGCCTAACGACAGCTTGGGATCGTATTTCTCGTGATACTCTCACAAGTCTACACGTGCATTTTTACAGGCTATCGACGAGATGCAAGCAGTCGGGGTCACCACCGTGCCAGCTCGCACCAGCGGGCCGCAACGCAAGTCACGGCTACGGAATCGTTCTTCCGCCGTCTCCACGGGTGACACGGGAACATCAGGCGTTTCGCAGGGCTCGGCCGCAGCGGGGACGCGCCTGGCAGGTGGAAGCATTACCAGCAGTAGAAGCAGCCGCAATCATCAGGATCAGATTTCGGAGGAGGATCTGGAGGGCGTGGATCGGAGAGCAATCTGCGAGGACATCTTGACGGGGGGACACGTGCAAACGTTCGTCGACTTTTTCTACCTCACGCACAGACCAGCCCCCGCGCAAGGTAGGAAGGAGTGCGGTGAAGAGAGATACTGCCGTTGTGCATTCTATTGCAACACCTCAGCACTATGGGAGTGGATATTTCGTGGCCGCATGTTGTTGCTTTATACCAAGGGTACATCCGTCCTGTCGCTACAACATGGACGGATGCGTTGCGAAAGTGCACCTCTTTCGAAAGTGCACTGGCAGGCACCGCATTACGCATGTATGCTGAAACAGGTGTACCCGTGAAACCTGCGAGGACACACGGCATTTGTTACCACTAGAAGACTAGTCGTGAGACCTCCGTGTCTGGTAGATCCAACCGAAGCTGAACCGGAATGCTCGCCGGGTTGTGGCATATCCCTATCCTATCTCCTCCCCTCAGCCTCCTCACAGTATTCCCACTGGGTTTCGATCTTTCCGTCCGATAATTCGTCATTGGTTTCATAGTACGCACACGCCCGACTCTCTTTTTTTTTGCTGCACTGTATCAACGCTACCGGTGTATGCGCCTCCTTCTGCGGCGGCACAAACCGCGCAATAGATGCCACGGATCCAGGGAAAGGCTCGGCGGAGGTCAACGTCCTAAAGCGAGAGATGCTTTTCATCAGGGATAACCTGGTCGCGGCGGAGAGTGCTCGACGGCGAGGAGACACCGCCGCCGTGTACAAGGCTTACAACAGGTTGGTTGTCCGGTAGCGTATCTCAGATGTACAGCAGTGGTGCAAGTTTTATCGCATGCCCCGCTGCACAGCACTATTAGGAGCAGTATGATGTGGCTCCGCGACTTTCTTTCGTGGCGATGGCGCCAACAGCATCCCCACCGTAAATGAGGAGATGTACGTTCAGCAACCTAATCATTACAGCCGTAAGATTGCTTCGTATCCGTCATGGAACCTTCCATTCGTGAGGCGATACTGCGTGTACCAGATGCCGCAGCGGGGCGTACAGGTCGCAAAGCGGAAACATCCACATGCGCACGCAGATATGTGGATCAGCCAGACACGCCAGACAATCGACTCCCTGCTTTCTCGGGTTTGCATGGCTTATTTCCCTGCAGGAGCCATGTAGGCTTGCCTCCCAGACCCGATTAACGTTCATGAGCGCGTAGTTTCGTGTATTCGTGGATTGTTAATAGCCCCCATGTTCTCTCTACCCTTTTCACGCCACAAAACACTCCATGCAATCTGCAGGAGTGATCACTCCGCACACCTCTGGCGTTTGTAACGCTACCCAGACTGCATAGCAACAACTCACGTGAAAAATGATGTTACGCAATGGAAACGCTGCGACGAGGCACGACCGCAGACGAACCCCGGTTAAACTTAACCGACGCACATACGGCTGCACCTGCAACAAAACACACAGCCTGGCGCAGTACTACCAAGAGATGAACGACCCCAAGACCGGCGTGTACTTCCACGAGAAGTGCCTGGAAATCAGTCGCCTGACCGCCGACAGGGGAGGCGAGATGAGCGCGAACCACCGTCTCGGAGTCGCGTACGAAAAAATGGTGAAATCATTTTCTGGTCGGCTAATGCTATTGTTGTTGTTGTTGTCGTTGCTGCTGCTGCCTGTGCTGCTGCTGCTGCTGCTAGCTTGCCACCGTCGCATCTGACGTTTTCGTTTCGAGGCGTCAGCGATGAAGCTCCATGCACTGCTGGACACCGTGTAGGGGGAGTCCTCTTCCTGTCGTCGATGGATACATCACACAATCTAGTCGACCCCGCGACATTGTAGGTGTGCCCACCGAGATCCCGATTGTAGACACGTATCGTGTAACTGTGCGCCATTGATTTCCACTTTTCACCGCAGGGAGACGTGGTGGCGGCGACAAACTACCACGAGAGGCACCAGGAGCTGGCTACTGCGGTGAACATCCCGGACGAACAAAAGGAAGCCAACAAGTCTCTCATCAACGTGAGTTACATGCCGCAACACGACATCAGCCGTCCTTGTACATCAATAGACAGTTGGACGATGACGTCGCGTTGCCTCCGAGGTTTACAAAACGGACACCCTGTCCTCAGCGTCGCCGTCCTCGCCAAGCCGCCTCAACATGACACCACACGCCACGCCACGCCACACTGCACGCGGGACAACCAAGACGCGTGTTGCTGAACCTCACGCGTTACACCGTACACCACACGTCGAACACACAAGATAACGCCACCGCATTCACAACGCCATCATAACCACCTTCTTCTTCTTGTTCCCCGTCCTTGTCCATAAGAGTTTACGCTTTCGGTTATATGTTCTTGTTACCGTTCGCTATCGTTCGTCTCACAGGTGTACCGCAAGTTCGCGGAGGAGCGCGAGTCGGGGGGGTTTTACAAGGAGTCCATCGAGTTCTGGGCCAAAAGCTTGGAGGCGGCGAGGTCGGCGGGGGACAAGGCCGCCCTGGGACAGGCCTGCTACCGCCTCGGCAAGGCTTACACGGAGCTCGAGGATCCCACGAGGTCTTGATACTTCCGTCTCTGTTGTCAACGTCGTTGTCGTTGTTACTTGGTGTTAGTTGCCGTTGTCCTTGTCGTTCAACCCTACAATAATATGCACACCCACCATCTACGACTGACAAGATCATCGTCGGAAGAGGAGAGAGAGAGAGAGAGAGAGAGAGAGAGAGAGAGAGAGAGAGAGAGAG